GGTTCGAGTGACGGCGAGTCATGGGCAGCACGGCTATATTGCTTACGCCATAGCTGTTCTTAACGGCGAGGATGGGAAGATAAAGAATGACACGGTGAGGATCAGTGGCATGGGTAGTGCCATCTTCAACGTTGTGAACATTGCGGAGATTGTGAAACGACGCGTCCATGGTCTTCATCAGATCACGGCGATTGGCTCCGAGATTGTGAAGGATATGTACGAGCCGCTTGAGTTCACCAAAAACCTCGACAACTTGGAGGTCGAGCGCAAGGTTTCAACGATCCTGATTACTCTGTCCCGCACCCAGCTGGACAAAAGCAATCCTGGCTACCAGGAGCCACTTCCGGAGGACCAGGTGGTCGAACAGGAGCGACGGGAGCCAGGCCGCAACCGTGGTGAGCGCGGTAGGCGTAGGAACAGTCGTGGGGGCCGCCGAGATGAACGTGACGGACGCCGTGATGACCGTGACGGACGCCGTGATGAACGTAGCGGACGCCGTGATGACCGTGACGGACGGCGTGATGACCGTGACGGACGCCGTGGGGGTCGTGGAGGCCGTCGAGGGGGCCGTGGGGGTCGTGGTGGAGCCAACTCAGGTGCTGACCGTCGCGATGATCGCCGCAATTAATAGAAGGATCCTATATAGTGAAGGTTGCTTTCAAGGGATCTCACAGTGTAAAGGATAGCAACTGATGCAAATTGGTTCTGTGAGATGTATGCCGCACAAGTAGAAAAAAGTTTGTCAAGGGAATAAGTGGTGAGATCCCTGATTTGAGTTATTACGAGCCTCTTATTTTACTGTGTTGAATGACAAATTTAGATACGATGACGACCAATTTCAGGCAGAAGGCATTCTTTTCGCCACCAGTACAGTTCTACCATCTCATAAGACCGACATGCATTTTAATTTTCTTTTCTCATTTATGTTTGTTCAAGTTGTCGTTGCAATAATTCCTTTTTGAGATGCTACTTTTCAAATTGGTATTTAGGTGTGTGCACTAAGAGAAAATCCAACCTGAAACTATTACAGCGAAGCGCCCAAACAAACTGAGCTTAGAAAGGAATAATCAGCTAAAGTCCCCAAACCGAACTCCCTGATGATCATTACTTTGTACTTTTCGAATATTCTAATTTTCTTTTTTTCATGATAAGCCTGATTAGGAGCATGATTGTAAACCGAAATACTCGAAACTTTTTTCGAATTTGCAAACTGGCGTTGGGAAGAACCCAGTATCTTTGATAAGATTATAAATGAACTGATATGATACTTGTAAGACTTTATTCAATATATGAAAATTAATTCGACAATCAGGTAGATAAAGCGCACAAATCGATTTAAGGAGCAACCAATCATGAAAAATAGTTACAAAGCCTCTTATACATCTCTTGAAATAAGCAGCGAATTTTTCCGTTTTTATTATTCCAGTAAATGAATATCGGTTCTAGGATCAAGAAAGGGGAAAACACGTTTGCTGAAGTCGAGGGTTTCCATTATTATGTTACCTTTTTATTTTCGAGGCTAATTTGGAGCAAGGGACAAATCTGTGGGAAAAGAGTTCAATACAAGGCTCTGGCTTTTCCCCAAAAGCCTGAGTTCAGGGGGAAAAGCGATGCAATAATAAAGTCAAGTTGTACATGTAAAGACAGAGACCTTCAGGAAATTTAACTTATGAAAAGTAGGCGAATGTGCCTTGCCGTATATTTTCTTTTTTTTACGGGCTTCTAACTAAATATATTTTACTTTGTACCACTGCGCCTAGTCAACACTTAACAAATGATAAAATAAATAGGGTGTTACTTCTCTATGCATTCTCATCTGTGTGGCAATGCCATTGCGGTGAGCCTGACTGCGCATGAACACTTTTCCGAAATTTCAAACACATTCTAAATGTCGAATGCATTCTGTAAATCCCTTGGTTGTGCTATCAATCACGAAACCTTAGAGCAACTTAGTGCTACATTTATACACACATACACATAAGAGAAATCACATTTCAACAATGCCGCCACGTCCATCCCGAGATGAATACCGCCGTATCCATATCGAAAGGAATAAGATTCAAAGTGCCGAAAACGA